ACCACTGAACTCTATCCCCAGCCAAACTTTCAGATTTTGAAGACAGTAGTATGTATCCATATGAATGTGCTTTAACCCATCTTCAGAGCCTCCTAGATGGATTCCAGTTTCAATTGGGACAACAGTGAAAGCACTCTGCATCAAATCCAGGCTGAAGTACCAATTTCTCAAGCATTAAGTCTGAATGATCCACCAGACAGAATGATACTCACTGTCAATGGTAAGCAGGTTGAGGTTGGAAGCCTCTAGAAAGCACTAATATGAGACTTAGCACAGACTTCTGGCACTTCAGAACAAATACATGCCCTGTTGTAGTGGAAACCATTCTACTTTTGAGAAACAGCTTATGATTGGTATACAATAGAGACTGAACAAACCATAAGACATCAAGTGACCGCACAGACTGAGCTTCCTATTAAGAAAAGGATGTTATATGTTTTGTTGAGACACAGGACAGACACATGGGTACATGCAGGAAAAAAAATGTATCCTCAAGTAAAACTGGCATAGATGATATTGTTCTCAGGCAGCTCCAGTAATAAAGAGAATTGCATGAGCAGGGGATCTATACTCTTCAACACAAACACGTTATACTACCTCTTCTCCCTCAGTCCATGCCTATGACTTCTTGAGATATTCCTTATTACCCATTGATGCCGACAAAAAGCCTGGTGCAAATGTTGTCTGCATGATATGTAGTTCCACCTGAAAGTGGAGAACTAAAATTATGTTCTCACAGAAAGGTGATCATGAAGACAGTAGTAAAAGAAAAATTTTCCCAATTCAGTTACTGAATTTAGCAGCCAATAAGTCTGGAGAGAGAGATGGCCACAAAGAAGCATACACATTGATTTATGAATTGTTGCCAGTGGTTTGGCTGGATAGGCAAGGATATGGAAGAAACAAGACTGGTGACAAGAATGTCTTGAAAAAGGTATGGTGTTTGATGGGGGACTGCACACCTCACTTTAGAGGAGGGTAAAAACTTTTTCCCTTGATTCTTGTTAGGCAGAAATATACAATTGTTTTATATTATAAGGAAATTCAAATATGTATATAAGGATATATATGGATGTTGACTATCCAAAACATGGACTGTGGCCGTTATAAATTAATTCATCTCAGCTTCAAATTCACCTTCAAAACCTACCATAGAATAATGAACTGGATTCTTTTTCACTCATCTTTTACACTTACAAGTTGGTATAGGAGGAACTGGAGGGGCAAACAAAAGCAAAGAAATCCTCTTGCTGCATCTAGTTGGTGCACAGTGGATCAGCCATATGGGGGTAAAAGACATTTTCTGGCACTTTGCCCATTCTATATGCTCAGAACACAGTCCCTATGTGGATTAGTCAATTTTCTGTTACTATAACAAAATATCTGAGAATAGACACTTTATAAAGAGACTTATCTAGTTCCAAGTTCTAGATGTGCAAGGGCATGGCACCAGTATTGGCTTAGCTCTAGTGAAAACCCCATGGGAGATGGCATCACAGTGGTGGAAGCAGGTGTGAGGAAGATTATGTGGTGAGATAGAAAGCCAGAGAGCAAAAATGGGTCATTCTTGGGACCTTCAACTAGGTTCCACCTTAAAATCCTACCACACGTGTGTGTTACTAGGGATTGAATTTAGGGCCTTGCACACATAGCAAGCATTCTACCTCTGAATTCCATCCACAGACCTTTATTTTTTTTTTTTAAAAATTTGAGATAGGGGCTAAGTTGCCCAGGCTAGCTTCAAATTTTCAATCCTTCTGCTTAGCCTCCCAAGTAACTGGGAATATAGGTATGTGCCACCTACACCTGTCTCACCACCTCTTAACACCTCCATACTTAGGACCAAGGTCCAATGCATGAACACTTGAAAAATAAATATCCTATCCAAACAACAGCACTAGAAGATTTTGAGCTTTGGCCCAGGCATTTCCTTCTCTGGCCCCCCTAATTTGAACATTTAACACTGAAAGGATGTCCATTAAAAGAGGAACATCTCAGTTGCTTGTGTCAAACAGCTTAACAGATTGTTTTCAATGTCCCTAGGACACATGCACTGAGCATCCCAGAATGAATGCTGCAGGTCAGCATAGTAACTTTTGTGCAACCTGCCACATAAGCCTATGCCCCAGATGCCTGTTTACCATAGCCCTCCAGATGTGGACACTAAGGGTGCAAAGCCACTTACTACTAATGTACTTACATCACTTTATTTTAAGAGAGTTTCTTGGAAGCAAAATATAATTTAGTCATGCTACTTCATCTTTCTTTTTGTATGTTAGATCATTTATATTGAATGGTTCAGATTACAAATGTGATTCAACTCTATTATTATGTTTAGTCTCTTTTTTATTTTTCTATTTTCCTTTTTAGTTATTTAACCACTTATTAGTACTCTAATTTATCTCCTGTATTTTTTACTGTATCTCATTGCTTTCTCTTCTTTTTGGTGGAGCTGGGCATCTAACCAACGGCTTCTTGAATGCTACGCAAGTACTCGCTGAGTTAAATCCCTAGCCCCTCACTGCATACTTTTTAGGGATTAAAATATACATAAATTATTAGGTTACATGGAATGACATTTTACCATTTAAATGAAATACAGAAACTTGGTATCAACTTGGCTTACCCTCATTATTATGTTGTGTTTGTCTTATGTATTATATCTACAAAAATTGAAATATCTGTATACCTGTAAGATGTTTTATTCTTTTCAACAATCATTTATAAAAAATGCAAGTAGAAACTAGTTGTGGTGGTGCATACCTGTAATCTCAGCTACTCAGGAGCCTGAGGCAGGAGGATGGCAAGCTCAAGGTCAGCCTGGTCAATTTAGAAACTGTCTCAAAAACAAAACAAAGGATGAGGGGCTGGGGTATAACTCAGTGGTAGAGTATCCCAAATTCAATCCCCAGTATTGTCCCCCAAAATACCTCAGTTGTACAATACCATATTTATCAAGGTAACTATTTCTACAGCTTTCCCTTCATTCCTGATATTTTAAGTTTCATTTCTTTCTTAGGTGCATTTCTAACAATTCATTTAAAGCAGGTCTTTTGGCAATGACTCTGTCTTACTTCATCTGAGAATTTATTTCACTTTCATTACTAGAGAATACTTTTACTTGATATAGCATTCTAAGTTGATACTTCAGTTCAGTACTTGAAAAATATCACATTTCCTCTTGGCATTTATGATTTCAGTTGAGAAATAAATGGAATTTTTCTACTACAAGCATTCATGTGAGTTTTCTCAGGCTCTTTTCCAGATTTCTTATTTTTAGCTTTCACTACATTTTTGGGATTAGTTTTCTTCATGTTTTGTGTTCACTGAACATCTTGTACCTGTGTTGTTCACCAAATCTGAGAATTTTTTTTCTTCCAATACTAGAGATTGAACCAGGGGTACCCTATCACTAAACTATATCCTCAGCACTTAAAAAAAAAAACTTATTTAAGACAGGGTCTTGCTAGTTTGCTGAGACTGTCCTCAAACTTGCCATCTTCCTACCTCAGCCTCCGAATCACTGACACTACATGTGTGTGCTACCACACCAGGCCTATTTTTCAAATAGTCATGTGCCATGGGAGTGAATTCTGAGAACTGCAATTTTGGGCAATTTCATCATTTCACAAATATCTTAGATTTACACAAATCTAGATGGCATGGCCTACTACAAACTTAGCCCAGATGGTATGTAGTCACATTCGATCTATTGTTGCCTGCATTTGGTTGTTATGACACACAGTACTGTTTTTTTGTTTTAAAATTTTATTGTAGTTGTAGATGGACAGCATGCATTTATTTATTTTTATGATTGAACCCAGTGCCTCACACATTCTAGACAAGTACTCTACCACTGAGCTACATTTTGAATTATTTTCAAAGCTTTCTGCAATGCTATTTGTCTGAAAGGCTGGTCTATCTCACATTCTAGTTCCCAAAGTCTGTTATGTTTAACTGCCACCACAGGATTGCCTGGAGATTGCAGGCAAGTGAATAACATTGACTGATATGTAGCAGGTGACTCCTGGGAAACCAAAAAAAAAAAAAAAATTTCTGTCAACTTTCAGAACTGTAGATAGTAATCTCTCTAAGAGGTAGCAGTAACTTCTATCAGATTTTCCTAAAGGGATGGGGTATAGAGCTGTATATTTTGGCTGACATTATGTTGTAATATATTTCAGTTTCCAGCTAGCAGCTATGAGCAGCTCAGAGTGCTTGAAGAATCTATACTTGTTCAAGCCTGATAGGAACACCTGCAGGATGGGATGCTCTGCTCTAGCAAGCTGTTAGTGAAACCACATCCTTAGCACTGTGGTTAGCATTGCCAAGCTGCCAGGCCAGGAAACTGATAGCCAGGAGCTTCGACATGGAACTTCTAACTTAGAAACCCCCTCCCCTAGGGACAAAGACACTTCCTGATGATAGTAATATTTAGAACATCCTCATAGTGTGGTTACATTAGGCATAAGATGATTGACTTATGGATACTATCCTTGATGGGCACGCCCCACTCAAACCCTGTAACATTATACCAGGGTCATAGGCTAAGCTGACAGCAAGCTCAGGCACACCAATCAAACCCCAAATATCAAATTTAGAAAAAATGTTTTGTGTGTAATTTGTGCTTGAGGAGCAGGAGCGCACAGGCATTGCTACAAAGAAGCAATGATGAATCTGAACTCATCTCCAGTGCAGTGGAGGAAGTCCTCTCCAGTGGCAAGGTGTTTGGGTGAGGTGATGTCTTCACCAGCAGTGAGTTTCTCAGGCAGGGCAATGTCTGGGCTGTGAACACTATACTGTCATTTGTTAATAATACTGTCACTTGGAGTCCAGACTGAAGGACAAGGCCAACCTGCACTAGTGACTTCACCCATCACCCACGTGCTCATCATCAGGCAACTATCAGTGAGTTCCAGAGGGACCTACAGGTCTCATGTCAGACAGTAAGATGGCATCTAAGACAAATTCATGAGCCATAACCACCCACGCAAGGTAGCCCAGATTGATGTGATCACCTTTATTGTCATCGCCAATAGGTAATGGCAATAACAATTGTGCCTAACAGTAACACTCACACCCACAAGAGAATTATTCCATTACCACTCCTCACAAGAAACACATGGAACATGAAAGTGCACAGGTCTCTTCTGTTCAGGATTATTGTTTAGTGTGATTTGGAATACCTCTACACTGGCTGGATTAAAAGCCAAAGAAAGGGGCTGGGGATGTGGCTCAAGCGGTAGCGCGCTTGCCTGGCACGCGAGCGGCCCGGGTTCGATCCTCAGCACCACATACAAACAAAGATGTTTGTGTCCACCGATAACTAAAAAATAAATATTAAAAAATTCTCTCTCTCCTCTCTCACTCTTTCTTAAAAAAAAAAAAAGCCAAAGAAAGGTCTGCAGCCCTGAGGGCAGCACATGACAGAATCAAAAGTTGCTCAAGCATATATAAATGTTGGGTCACTCAGACTGAAATCTGGTTGAGTTGGTCTGTGAAAGGCCATATTCAAAGTCAGTGATGATTTCCAGCATAGCAGAACATGATACCAGCCATGTCCAGAGTTCTTGCTATTTTTCATCTTATATGAAAAGGCAAATCCAGAAAATCTAGTTGTCAGTCCAAGCTGTTGTTTGACTCAGGAATATGATTTATTTTCCAATCATGGAATGAATCTATAAAGAAAAAGAAAATCTAGGTCTCTCCCTCCCTCCCTCCCCAAGTTAAAGGAATTCCTATTCTCAGGTTCAAGGATCTGGCTTTTCCTCCACAGCCATGAAACTGAGGTCTGTCACACTACCAGCTATTCACTCAACCTTTTTTCCACATGCCCTTTTTAATATGAATTTAAAAATCAGGTAAGAGAGGAGCAAGAGCATTTGAACAACATTGAGAGCTATATTATAGCCTAAATTTGGCTAGTGTGAGTTACTATTAGTGAACCATGTTTAAAAGCATGACGAGAGAATCTTCAATGCTAAAATAGGATTTGTGCTGGGGGTGCAACTCAGTGGTAGAGTATACACTTGGCATGTGTGAGACCCTGAGTTCAATCCCAGGAACAACAAATAAACAAATAGTATAGGATACTTTTGTTTCCAAAAGGCTCATTTTTGGCTAGATGCCATCAGAAAGGTCTAGCACCTTGACTGGAATGGTTTTGCTATACAAGAAACAGATATATCCCACCAGGAATGATCAAGGTGGACTCATAAATATTCAAACTAAATGTAAAGAATCATTCAGAAGGTGGTATGTCTGTCAACATACAAGATTTCAGGGGTGGGGATGCAATTTTCATATCTAAACATTCACTTTTTCTTGTGTGTGAATCGCTGTTTTTAAAGGCTGAAGGATAATATGTAAAAAATTGACTTTGCATCCTTCCTCACCTATACAATAAAGTTTTTCTCCACTGTGAGGTCAAATGAACATCAAAGTATTTAACAATTACAACTTTTCCACATATCATACATCAACAGTGTTTTCTCTCCACTGGAAGAGCCTATATATTTAATAGGTCCCTGAGAATTACGATTTTCATGTTTGTTACATTATATGGCTCCAGGATGAGTTCTCACAATACTGCATCATGATCAGATTCCAATGATTCTAACACAATTCTTAAATTCATGGGGCATCTTGAGAATAGAGGTCTTTCAATCCTTTGAAATAAACTGGCATAATTGAGGGCTGTTCCACATTCTTCACATTAATAAGGTTTTTCATCAGTAAAAATTCCAGTGTGATGATTAAGACGTGAAGAACTTCTAAAGGATTTTCGGCATTCCTTCCATTCAAAGGGTTTCTGTTCAGTTTGAGTCATTAAATGTTCTGTTAGCAAATAAAGCCTATTATAGGTGTTCTCACATTCCTGATATTTACAGGGCTTCTCCCTAGTGTGAATTCTTACATGGTGATATAGGTTTGAGGATGTAGTGAAGGATTTCCCACATTCCTTACATTCATAGGGTTTCTCCCCTGTGTGAGTTCTTACATGTTCAGCTAGGCTTGAAGAAACGGTGAAGGCTTTCCCACAATACTTACATTTATATGGTTTTATTCCAGTATGAATTCGAATGTGCTTATTAAGACATGAAGAATTTCCAAAAAATTTTCCACATACCTTACATTGAAAGGGCTTTTCCCCGGTGTGAGTTTTTACATGTTCAGTCAGCAGATAACACCTTTTGTAGGCTTTCCCACATTCCTTACATTCATAAGGTTTCTCTCCAGTGTGGGTTCTTATGTGCACAATGAGACATGAAGAAGTTGTGAAGGCTTTCCCACATTCCTTACATTCATAGGGCCTCTCTCCAGTGTGAGTTCTTACATGTTCAGCTAGACTTGAGGAAACAGTGAAAGCTTTCCCACAGTATTTACATTTATAAGGTTTTACTCCAGTATGAATTCGAATGTGTTTATTACGGCAGGCAGAACTTCTAAAGGATTTTCCACATAACTTACATTCAAAGGGCTTCTCCACTGTGTGAGTTTTTAAATGTTCAGTTAGCAAGTAACACCTTTTGTAGGCTTTCCCACATTCTCTACATTGATAAGGTCTCTCTCCAGTGTGAGTTCTTACATGTTTCCGTAAGTATGAGGAAGCATGGAAGGCTTTCCCGCATTTTTCACATTCATAGGGCTTCTCTCCAGTGTGAGTTCTTACATGTTTACGCAGGTAGGAAGAAGCATGGAAGGCTTTACCGCATTCCTCACATTGATAGGGTTTCTCTCCAGTATGAATTCTTAAATGTTCAGTTAGGTTTGAAGCGGCAGTAAAGGCTTTCCCACATGCCTTACATACATAGGGCTTCTCTCCAGTGTGTGTCTGTACGTGTGTGGTAAGGCCTGAGCGTTTAGTGAAGGCTTTTCCACATTCTTTACATTTATAGGGTTTCTCTCCAGTATGAATTCTGAAATGTTCAGTTAGGCTTGAAGAAGTAGTGAAGGACTTCCTACATTCCTTACATTCATAGAGTTTCTCCCCTGTGTGGGTTCGCATGTGACTATTAAGATTTGAAGAATAACCAAATACTTTTCCACAAACCTTACATTCATAGGGTTTTTCCCCAGTGTGGGTTCGCATGTGACTATTTAGGTTTGAAGAATATCCAAATACTTTCCCACAAACTTTACACTCATAGGCTTTTATGGTATACATTTGAATAGGCACAGTTCCACTTGTGGGAAATGTAAAATCTCCTGCATACTGCTTCAATTCAAAGAGTTTTTCTCCATTGTGATTTCTCAAATGAGCCTGAAAGTATGGCTGATTGAGGAAGGCATAGTCATTGCATTCAAAGGATTTGTCTTGTGTGATGGTTTTCTGGTAAACATCATTTGGAGTCAGGCTAAAAGCTCTTTCACACTGACTCAACACAGAGAGTGTCTGTTCAGTAGAGGTTTTGTGAGTAGTAGGAAAATACCTTCCATACTGATTAGAGTCACAAGGGTTCCTTGAATTTTGAATCTTCATGTGTGTCTTGAAATATGAGTGTTCACTGAAGATTTCTCCATATTGCAGATAGTTACAGAGTTCCCCTGCATTTTGGTTTCCCGTCTGCTGATAAGGGATGAAATATGGTTAAAGATTTTTTTTCAAATGAAATGGATTTTACCTATCTGAAAGCAAAAATAAAACATAATTGATTCTTACTGTTTTTATTACATGTATAGAATTCGTACTCTATGGACTTCTCTCAAATTGAATGAAGGAATACTGCAAGGATTCTGAACCATCTATTTTAGTCTTAGGATAATTCCTGTACATTTTCATAAAATTCTTTTAAGAATCTCAGTACCCAACTGAGTGGGAAAGTGTACTTCTAAGAACTCTGAAGCTCCAGGTTTTGAGCTTGGATTAGGGTATCCTAAATTCATCACATTCAGGATCTCAGGATCCCTTTAGAGACATTTCCCCTGCTAGGGTAAATGTTATTTCTCTCAAGCATCTCTTGGGCCAGGGATGCAGCTCAGTGGTAGAGTGCTTGCCTAGCTCAAGGTCTTGGTTTGATTCCCAGCATCACGGAAACAAAAAAACAAGTCTCATTGATACAGATTTTCTATAAGAGAATTCCCCATCTTTTTCAAGTATGATAAATGAGGATTCACCAATACTGCAACCTTCTCCCTATTGACAAATGGTTGAATGATGAATAAAGAACGTATTTAGAGGGTTATTATAAATATCACCATTTGCATTCTTTCAAATAGTTATTGCTATGTGAATTCTATAGTACTCAATGAAGGAACAATAGGACTAAAATCCTGTGATATCTGTTCTAATGTTAAAAAGATTAAGATAATTGCTTTAAAAACTCCCATGTCCAGAATTCCAGGATATGTGGGACTGTGTACTTGTGGGATCCCTGAAGGAACTGGCTTCACAATAGTTTGGGATACTATTGATATTATACTCAAAATTGATATTATATTGAAAGTATTTCTCCTGACATATTGCTTCCCTCCCACTTGGATGAATGTTACTATCTATAACAGAATTCACATCTTCTCTGAGTGTGGAAAACAACATCTTTTGTTAATCTTACCATTTGTATTCCACTGGAAATTCGTTCCTTCAATATATTCTGCTGAAATGCTGCCTCTTCAGTGCTAACGTGCATTTTCCATTCTAAATATGATCAGAAGACAAATTTAAGATTTGGAGAAAGAAATGGTAGATTGTAGAAATTAAAAATGATAGGGCTTATATGTATTTGTTTTATCATTCTTTCTTCTTCTTCTTTTTTTTTTTTTTTTTTTTTTTTTTGGTACCAGGGATTGGAGCCACATCCCTAGCCCTTTTTATATTTTATTTAGAGACAGGGTTTTGCTAAGTTGCTGAGGCTGGCTTTGAACTTGTGATCCTCCTGCCTCAGCCCTGTGTGCCACCATGCCCAGCCACTGTATTTGTTTTCAAATTAAACATGGTATAAAAAAAAGTTGGAAATCAGTACAGCACTTGCCTTGCATTCCTGGGTTCAATCACTAGAGCCAAAAGAACAAACCAAGCAACCAAACAAACCAAACAACAACAACAAAAAAAAGATAAAGGAAAAAAATATGGGGGGGAAAAAAGCAAAGTTTGAGCATTTTAACTAGATCAAATTTGGCAACAGTAAAGTTGTGGGTCATAGTCTTAAATAGTTTATTATAAACTGATTCTTTAAAAATTAGAACTGATGGTAAACAAGAATAATATTATCAGGCATGAAAAGAAGAAAAGATGTAGACAAAGAACAAATGAAAAAGTGATTTAAAAAAAAGACAACAGTTCATTTTGGAGATCACAGGAAACTCTGAATAGACAGAGTATGAGAAGCTGAGATTTTCTACCTTCTCAGAGTAATGTCCTGAACCTTCTTAAATCAACTACATCTTAAAAAGTTTCATGATCCTTCCAAACTCAATAAACTTCTCCTTGATCACAGTTGCCCTCCAGACTCACTCACCTTGGAGATCTCCGGTCTGCATATCCTCTTCTTGTTCTAACCATGAGATGAGACTGGGTTTGGTGGGTTCACATCCTGTACATGGGGAAAGATATTCATGAAATAGGTTCATGCAACAGATGATAAAACAGTATAGTTCTAATCATACTGTTTCTAATGAAAGCAGAAGAATTATTTCAAAAGAGTGAAGTATGCAAGTATCACCTCTTTCTGTACCCAAAAATGATTAGTTATCTTGGAATTCTGAAGACCCAAATTAATGCTAACAAACAAAACACTAATACTGAATCAAATAGAAAGTAAAGTGAAACAAAAAGATCCTTGTTCTTCTGGGGAAAAACTATACCAGGAATCACAAATTATAATGCATCAGATACAAATGGGTGGCTTGCTAACATGCACTGACAGGGATCTATCTGGAATTTCTGATTCAGTATGTCAAAGGAAGAGACTGATAATTTACTTTTCTTTTCTTTTTTTTTTTTTTTTAAA